ACCAAAGATGTGACTATTCTCCTGTTTAATATGAATCACATTACCCCACATTTTCTGAAAGGCAGCCTGGTTATCCACCTAAACCTTCACGGTAACTTTTCCCGGTCTCCTCTATCCCAGCCTGAAGGCCTGTACCTGCTTTTAGTCTCTCTGAATTTCTAACTTACTTTTTTGGAAATCTGATAATATTTGAAATACCAGTTAAAATCTAGCAATATAATGTTTCTTATGAATGCTCCCCCGCCAAAAATCTAATAACATTGCATAAAAAAAAGACAAAGTAACAATTTTCTTTCTTCAAAACCACTCAGCTGTGCAATCTTTAGTTCTTTTAGACCTTCAGAAGGTATGATCAGTATGCATAGGGAAAGTCATGTCTCTTACTTAACTTTGCAAGAGTGCACTACAGAGCACTAATAGCTGCATTGCCTTGTTAATAAACTTCAGTCAAAATGCTTTGGGAGATAATTTGATTAAAAAAAAGAATAAAAAACACCGAAGCCGAAATATTGCTTTTATAAGCTGCGAGATCAATTCACCATGTGCTTTTTTAATCAACTGAAATATATACATTTAAACAGAAAACACAGATGACTTAGCATTCTCCCATATCATGCCAGTGAGCGTGACTAGTTCCTTGTAATTTTTTTTTCTAATACTCTCTTGTGCTCTGACTTACGGGGGGAAAAAACTTCCCATGAAAAATGTGTGCTACTTTTCCACTTTTGGCCTTGCATGTGCTTCTTCTCTGCCTTAATTACAATATAAATCAACTACAAAAAAAGATTTACAGTGATTACACCTCACTTAGAGAGCTGTGAAGATTGATCTGGATGTGGTATGTTTGTCAACCTCTGTGCCTAGTTCTCATCTTAGCGAGTTCCAGAGTGAATCCCAGGACAACATAATATTCAAAAAGAAGTAAAGGTGGGAGGGGAAAGCTCTGGTATGTCACTCTGGTCTTTGTGTTCTCACCGAATATGCCAACGACTTACTCTCAGAAAACTCCAGGGCAAAAGACTTCAAACAATTGTGAACTTTAAACCCATTTACTACCTTAGCAGAAAATATCACCATAGCTACCGAACTGATCCCTGAATATCCCCCCATTTTCTGTCTGTGCACCCAACTGGGTGAAACCGAAATTGCGACAGAAATCTTCCTGTTTTGAATGGATTAATGCTTATCACCACCAATGAGGACCTATATTCAGGTCACTAGTTTCTTGGAGCGAAGTTAATCAGCCCTTGCCTTTAGGAGGGGTGTCTTTTTTCCAAGGTAAATTCATTCATTAATGTGATCACACCAAGCAAAACAAAAACATACAGTTAGGAAACAAAGCTGACACAATATAATGTGTCCTTTAAATCTTCCTAATTGCTCACAAGTTTTGTAATATGATGAATTTTGGTTAAGTCCTGTAACTTGGCCTAACTTTCTCTACCTCTAGGACATGTGTCCTGCCCACCTCATTGCTGTTCAGGCTCTGGTCTAAAGGATCAAACAGATGAGATACCCTGCCTTTTAGATTTACTCGTGTTGGATTTCTTTGAAAGCCAACTTGACTGCTTCATTTAAAAAGTGACCTCAGTGATTCCTTTTTGATGAAATGCAATAAAGCCTCTAATAAATTATTAGGACAGCTATTTGCTAATTTGCCAGTATATCCCTTTTAAAAATGGTCTTATCCTTCCAAACAACACTCCTGAAAAATCATGTTTTCCTGTCCACTTGTTCCCTATTTTTACTGTTTTCCTACAGTGACAGTGCTCCTACTGAATAACCAAGTGCCAAAGATTTTCACGCTCAGCTCAGAAAGGAATGTAATCATACTTTAAAAATAAAGTATATTCTCAAATCTAGAAATTAGCTAGTAATTGAAATTATCATCACAGTATTTTAACTGATGACCATTGAACTCTTTTCTGGCAAACGGCTCATAGAGCATTAATTGCATGTCACATTACAGATCTGCAGAGTTAAGTTCTGTCTTGTCCTTGGGACTGTGAGTTCTAAAGCAACTTTAGAAGTGTCTTTAGGGTACAAAAGAAATCATTAAACTGCAAAAGTTCTATTTGGTCTGAGAGGTATGCACCTCGTTTTCCTTTCTTTATCATTCCCTGTTCCTCAAACCTGTATTATCATCTACCACTTTTGACGGTGCTAAGAAGGCCCACCACTTTCTGTTTCTACCCACAGCACCCAAGTATCTGTCTAAGAACACTTCAGAAAAACATTGTCTGCATGAAGCAGATTCAAAAGGTTTTAGAAAGGAAAGTTTATTTTGATTTCTTTCTGATCAAGGTTTGAATGGGGATAATCTGAATTTCTTTATAATCCTATATACATTTTAATGGATTGTTAAAAATAGTTCATAGTAACTGTTACTAATGTACAAATAGGATCCTATTTTTCAGAACAAAAACTATCTTTGTCTCTGGTATCTATCAGCAAATAATATTACTAGATACAATATCTGCATTATGAAGTTTGCAAGACA